AAACCTGTGCCCTAGGCTAGTTAGGTCCATGCAGAAACTTGTGAATGATGCTCTAGTTGTGGCATCACCATTTAGTGACATTGAATGCTCCGGGAAAACATATACTATTGCTTTCCATGTTGAAGAACTTTGTGTTGTTTCTATTTTAATGTACTTTTAAAGTTTAAATCACATTAAAAGCTTAATTTGTACATTATGAATGAATGATGATGCATTTATATAGCGTCACCGTCACTGACAGCCGCTCGCACATGCTTTGTGCATGAGCCGCATGCAGCCCAAAATTAAACGGCTTAATCGACCATCGATGGCTTTAATCGATTGCATCTCTTATCGACAATTAATTGATCATCGATTAATCGTTGACATCCCTAGTGCTAATAAGAGGCTATCATTGCAGGGCCATGTGTACAACTCCACATCACGTATCAGGAACCGTAAGGAGAAAAGTTCATGGCTGGGATTCGCCCAGGTATTGATCTCTTGTTTTATGAAAATGTTTCTCTTGATTGTCTGTCTACTTGTATAATGTCACTGTACAGTACATGTGTAGTACTTAATATGGGTTTGATTTATTGGTCATGTCTCGTAATTTAAATCGTTAAATGCTTATGACATTTTCAACCAGAAATGTCATTCATTGTACAGCCTTGCAAAATAAATGTTCCTGTGGCGATTTGCTTTACAGGGTTGTTTGCTGTATCGAGACATGAACAGTCACAGCATGGCGGCCATTAAGATCAACCCAGAGACTCTGGAGCAGGAGGGCACCGTCACAATGCCGGGTACAAACACCCCTCTTATGTGCTGTTGATCGCTAAGAGCAGGGCAAATAAATGGCTTGACCAGCACACTATTCTTCCCTGTCTTGACATGTTTTCTGTTGAAACAGGACATATTTCCCCGAATCTGTGTAGCAATGGATATATTATGTAGTAATTTTAAGCAGTTTATATTTAAAATAATATATCTCGTAAAGATTGTTTAAGGGTTAGTTCACCCAAAAATGAAAATTAGCCCATAAATTACTCATCCTCGAGTTATATTAAAAATTGTCTTTGATCTTTCAAGCTGTTTCATGGCATTCAGCGGGTGTTGCATGCTTCAGTCCAAAAGCACTTAATTAAAAAGCGCCCATCCATAAAAAAAAGTGTCTCATACGGCACCGGGGGGTGAACAAAGGCCTCCTGTAGCAAATCGATGCGTTTTTGTAAGAAAAATATCTATATTCAAAACGTAATAATCCCTTTAATGTAGCTTGCGCCAACAATCCTACACGGAAGCAGCTCCGGGCGGATGACGTATGAGGTCGGCTTTGCGCATGTGCCACTCAGAAGTGACGAATGCGGAAGAGCAGGGGAGAGATCAAAACAAAACAATGGTCACGAATTAGAAGTACAAAATTATGATTTGTAAAGAAGAATGTCGGAGCATTTCGATATAAGCCAAGAGGAGACTGGTTTTCCTTTGCTAAAGTAAGGAAACTTTGCTTCCTTTGCTCCTGTTAACAAACGTTGGTTTTTACAAGACTCACAGGCGCTTGTGCTACGCCGACCTATTACGTCATCCGCCCGGAGCTGCTTCCGTGTACAACTGTTGGCGCAAGCTACATTAAAGTGATTATTACGTTTTGAATATGGATATTTTTCTTACAAAAATGCATCAATTCGCTACAGGAGGGCTTTGGTCACCCTCCGGAGCCGTGTGAGACATTTTTTTTTTTTATGGATGGGCGCTTTTTATTTAACTTATTTTGGACTGATGCATGCAACACCCGCTGAGTGGAACTTTTAATATAACTCCGGCTGGCTTCGTCTGAAAGAAGAAAGTCATTTACACTTAGGATGACTTGAGGGTGAGTAATTTGTGGGCTAATTTTAATTTTTGGGTGAACTAACCCTTTAATGGCAAGCCTTATTTGGACTATAATCTGGAACTGTAAAGTATTAAAGGGGTCATATGATGCGATTTCAATTTTTCCTTTCTCTTTAGAGTGTTACAAGCTCTTGGTGCATAAAGAAGATCTGTAAAGTTGCAAAGACTAAAGTCTCAAATCCAAAGATATATTCTTTATAAAAGTTAAGAGTCAGCCACACCTACCTAAAACGGCTCGTTCTAACATGCCCCCACATACCTACGTCACTATGTGGAAAGATTTGCATAACGCCGCCCAAATGTTCACGCAAAGAAAGAAGGCGTAACTTTTATTCTCGCTGTAGTATTGTTGTTGCCGCCGCCATGTCGTGAAGGCGCAGTGTGTTTCGTTGTGAAAGCGAAACTACTTAATTTGGCCTTCCAAAAGAGGATGATATCTGGTTCGTCATGTCTGGAGCTGATCCGTGCTGGTCGCTGAGGAAATAC